CAGGCTTACTGGGCGGTAATTTGACGGTAGCGACTTGTTCCCCTGCTTTAAAAATAGGAATTACATTAGCCATCTTCCACATATCAGGAGGCCTGGTCACAGACCGGGCCGCGGGGGCGTTGACCCCCGGAACTCTCTCCAGGTAAACTCCAGGTATGAACATTAAAATGGTATAAAATACCGACAGATTGTTAGGTAAGACACATATGCAACAGTTAGGTATCTTTATTTCGAAACGTTTCGCCTACACAGTAGGCTTCTTCAGTCGAGTACAGAAAAGTTGATAGAGGCAGAAGATACTTGAAGACGATGTAATCAGTCCATCACCCTTAAAGTTTTGAGGTGGTCAGTCCCTCAGTCTGGAGAAGAGCATTGTTCCGTTGTCTGAAACAATATGAAGTTGAAGTGACAGGATGGAGCCTTATATAGTGTCAGGAGGTGAGACGTAGGTTGCTTTGGGAGGGCAGGTCCCTCTCAAACCCAGCCGTTCTCACTAGTAGAGGTTGTCGAAGTTGATGGTCTGTACCAAGATACCCTTGTGTTGCAGTGTCTGACAGAATGAACATTAAAATGGTATAAAATACCGACAGATTGTTAGGTAAGACACATATGCAACAGTTAGGTATCTTTATTTCGAAACGTTTCGCCTACACAGTAGGCTTCTTCAGTCGAGTACAGAAAAGTTGATAGAGGCAGAAGATACTTGAAGACGATGTAATCAGTCCATCACCCTTAAAGGTGATGTGACTGTGATATTACAAGTGACTGTGATATTTATCGTCTTCGGGCCCACTATAAAAATTATTTACTGGGATATTATTAGTGTCTTCCTGTGTAAAAACCGAGAGAAAATAATTATTAAAAATAGAGCACATTTCATTCTCCTTGTCAGTAAGGTCCCCAGAGTTATTTTCTAGGGGACCTATCTAATCTCTAATTTTTGTTCTATAAACCTGGAAAAAACTTTTTGGGTTAGTTTTCGAATCCCTAGCAACTTTAATTTCGTTGTCCCGTTTAGCTTTTCTTATCCCCTTTTTAGCGTCCCTAATGCCAATATACTGATTAATAAGATGACCCTCACTTCTTTTGATGCGCCTATAAATTCCTTTTTTCTGTCCTAAAAGATATTTGAGCCTATTATTCATCAATTTTGGGTCATTTCTATTAGATCTAATTTCTTATATGGGATAAATGTTCTTTGGGCAGCATGTATAGTGTTCAGTAACCTGTCATATTGATAGCTTTCTTCGTTACCCAAGTCAACAGATGATAAATGTTCTCTAAGCCCATTGTAATCTGCTAAGCGAAAATCTGGGACCATTACTGAATTATCCCTACTATCGTACTTCCATTCAGTGCTAAAGGTAATTGATTTGTGGTCGGTTGTGCCGAGTTTCTCTGTAATTTCTAAATTATTAACAAGAGTTTCATTGTTTGCCAGAACCAAGTCAAGCAGGTTATTACGCTTGCAGGTTCTGCCACATACTGTTTCCAGAAACATTCCTGAACTACTTCTAAGAAGTCGTTAGATTCTAAATTCCCTGTCAAGAAATTCCTATCAATCTGATTAAAGTTAAAGTCCCCTAGAATTATTACGCAATCGTGTATAGTGGCCTTAACAGTTTCCTCCCATAGTAGACTCCCATTGTCCCTATCTAAGTTTGGGGGACGGCATATCACTCCTAGAATAAATTTTTTCATTCCCTTCTGAAAATTCTATCTAGACAGACTCTCCATGTGTTACTTCAGACTTAAAACCCGTTTTTGTGCAATAGTTCAAGCGATCTCGGATATACAGTACCACCCCATCCCCCTTCCCGATACTTCTATCTACTTGGAACAATTTAAAACCCTGAATGTGACATTCTGCAGGCATGTCTCGTCTTTTTGAATTAAACCACGTCTCAGTTATGGCAAACACATCAATGTTACCTGCCATATCTTGGCAATATCTTACGTGGATGGTTAATTCTAATTTCAAATTCAGTTTCAGCATGCTAATAATAACCTAAAAGGCTTTCAGTTATGAAAGTAGCAATTTTATTCTACGCTTGTGTTAAGCTTTTTTTTTTTTTTTTTTTTGACTGCGTAACGTAAATAAAAAGTCCTGGCTCCTAAACGGTAAAGGAACTGCCGTATCTAGGGGCATTTACATTATTTAAAATAGAAAAAGAAACCACTCCAGGACAGCAAGTACCTTCATACAAATTATTTAAATGGTCAGTGTATTATAAGGAAGGACACAAATTCTCACCTATATAAAAATGTAATATATTAATATTAGTGTAACATATACAACCTACAATCTACTCTACTACAACCAACATCACCACACTCCAGTTCAACTTTACCCAGTACTTACATTAACTCAGTAGCACACTGCTACTAGTAAGCAAAACAAAATATATAAACCGGGAGGCTCCATGATATACCCTTCCTTCTGCCGGCCTGTCTACCAGTAGACAAAATCACCATAGGAGTTCTCTCCCCCTTGCATGGAAGTGAGTTAAGTTAGCAACAAATTTCGTCTGGAGTGGTGCACATCGTAATGTTAAGTCACATTTCCATAGTCGGGGCAGGCTGAGTGCAAATTCCTGTAGAAATAACTAAAAATCCGTCTATATATGACGAAGTTAATAAACCGAGTTGATGTTATAATAAAATAATGTTTTATAATTGTACTCCCCGGCCCTAGAATTAAATGTGGGATATTTTGGTTTTGAGCTGTGGCCTTTATACACCAGCTTACCTTTGTGCAACTCCCATTGTTAGGTTATTATTTTATGCAAAACAAAATATTTAATTTAATCAATTGCTGTTGAAACTTTTAAGAAAAAATCATTTCCTAGGGTGTATCGATGCCGGTGAGTAAGGGGAGGGGTTACCTATGTATCAGAATTGATTACTTCCCGTTTTATGAGTCCTGCATGGCCCGTACGGTTCTGGTGCTTCTTCAGTATATAATTTAAGCATATGGTTTGAAAAAACTACATGCCAGTGTCATACTAGTAATCATTTCATATATTCACTTATTCTCTTAGCCTTCGTTTTTGCTCGGAACATTGTGTGGGTGATGGTGGTGATGGGCGTGTGGGGCTGCGGTGTGGGCGCCTTCATGAGTATTTTCAACTTAGTTAGTGTTCACTACATGGGCCTTGAAAACTTAATGCCAATGTACGGGGTCATTATGTTTTGTACTGCTGTAGGATACATCACATTTGGCCCTTTCGCAGGTAAGTCAATATTTTTTTTTTTCACTTTTTCTGATACAGAACTGAAAGCTATTATCCCATCTTAATTCCTTTCTGAATACTATTGTATTATTTTGAATTATGAAGTACAGAGCATTTTCTCAACATTTTGGTTATTCCTGTTCTATAGTCAACCACTTATTCAAATAACTCGTTTTGGTCTTTCACACAGGATATGTCGGCGACGTCACCGAGAGCTACGAAATTTCTATATTTGTGTTAGCCTCCTTGATCTTCTGCAGCTTCCTCCTCTGGTTATTCATGCCTGCCGCTGCCAATTTTGATACCAGGAGGAGTATTGTGAATAACATGGCCTAGTCCCCATGAAAACTAAGTTATAGCAGACTTCGTTGATAAGTAGCTAATGTACGTGAAATATAGATTTGAGATAATAAGAGATACTGGTTCCATATAATATTAATAAGTAACATCCCTCGTAGCCATATCTACTAATTTCTTCTAATATGAGGGATTCACCATAATAGCAAGAAGGCGAAGTAAACAAATTTATGGGAACAACATCAAGGAAACTGGAAGCCATATCAAGAGCACTGGAAGTCACATAAAGAAAACTGAAAGTCACCGAAAGGGTTCCTGAAGCCACATCAAGCACACTGAAAGCCACATAAAGGGGACGGGAAGCCACATCAAAAGCACTGGAAGCCACGTAAAGGGGACGGAAGACTATCAAGTTCACTGGAAGCCTCATAGAGAACAACGGAAATTACTTTCACAGTTGCTTCTCACGTCTCTTATCTGCTTCTCACGTCCCCACGTTGCTTCTCAAGTCTCTTCGTTGCTTCTCACGTCTCGTTGCTTCTAACATCTCTCGTTGCTTCTCACGTCTCCTCATTGCTTCTCATGGCTCCTCGTTGCTTCCCACATTTCCTCGTTGCTTTTCATGACCCTTATTTACTTGTAACGTCTCCTCGTTGCTTCTCACGTATCCTCGTTGCTTCTCACGTCCCCTCGTTACTTTTCAAGTAAAAAATAACATTTTTAATCTTACAAAGGATGATGAAGACCACAGAGAGCACTGGAAGTCAGAGAGCACTGTAAATCAGAGGGCACCAGAAGTTAGAAAGTATTGGAAGTCAGAGGTCATTGAAAACCACACAAAGAACACTGAAATCCTTATACAGGGCGCTGGAAGATATGTCAGGAACTTTAGAATTCACATTAACAAAATTAGAAGCCACATTTTGAAAATTGGAGGCGAAACTACAAAACTGGAAGCCAAGTTACAAAAAGGGAACTGACAGACACGTAAAATGCAATGGAAACTAAAAAGTTATTCTTGAAGCAATATAGGGCACCATAAATTACAAAAAGTATGGAAGCAACAACAAAGGATGCTGGCGGCCACAGAGAGCACTAGAACCCACAAAAGACATTAGGTACCACAAAGGGCAGTGGATGTAACGATGGGCATTGAAAGTTACACAGGTTAATGAGAGTCAGAGAGGTCATACGGCTTCTGGGAAATAGGAGGCAATGGTAGAAGCTACACTAAAGGCAACTGGAAGAATCAAGTACGCTACAAGCTACAGCATGGGCACTGGAAGCCATATCAGTATTAGTGAAAACTCCATAAAGTGACTTAGCATTCAGTGTCACGAACAGGGAACGGTTGATTCATTATGAAGATTAGGGACATCATATTGTATGGGTAAACCCTTTGCTAATTCCTTATTAAATCTGAGATGCTTCGTTATGCTTCTGATAGTATAAAGACAATTCAATGACGCTTTATTGGTAAAACGTTTCACTCAAGGGGGATGCCTTCATAAGTATTATATGTCTTCTATATGTATTCATATTAAAAATGTGCCTTTAGGACACAACATTATCTATTGTACTTAAATCTACTGTACAGAACACCATCGAGCTCATTTACAAGCCGTTGAAGTGGAAAATTAGTTATTATATATTTTTGTCCCCACGAACGAGTGGTATTGATCAATAACAACACTGTGACTAGCCAAGGACTCGAACCCATGCTGCTTTGGCCTACCTCTTGGTGGGCGAAAAACTCATGACGCCTTAATCCACTGGACCATCGCTCGTTGTACTAGTACACCAAACAGGGACTAGAATGACAATAGCCTAGAGTCCACACCATCGTATGTCCTTGGGTAGCGAGTACAACATCCAGTTCCGCTGGATGCGCTACTCTTAAAACCTCTCAAATAGGAGCCGAAATTGTTGGATTTACCATCCTGCATAACATGAGCATTAAGCAGATGGACAGGACAGCTTCGGAACCCCAGCTTAGCCATGTTTATTTTGTGTTCAAATTCTGGCCAGTATTTTCTCATAATTTTGGCAAGGAGGTTTGTATGACACACCATAATCTCCAGACTAATTGGCGAGTCTTATTATAAATTCTCCTTCAATGTATACGTATTCACATTTTAAATTTAATATACAGTCCACATATTTATATTCATGCTTTACTAGAATTCCTGGTGATGTATATTTCATTTGAAATTAATATAGGTCCAGAGTGACTTGTGGAGAGATAGATTATCGTAGGTATTGAAGGAGACATTTTTTGTCTCTGTAACCTTGATAAAGAATAATTATCTTTGTTACCATTTACTGGTATGTGTCTTATGAGTTACATCCAGGAAAATTTAATTTTCCAAATTAGTTGCCTGTTGGTCCTTGATCGAACTGGATGTAATTAGAGAAGTCATTAATTAGTGAATTAATAATTATATGTGAAATGACAGGAGGTAGATGTTAGGTCCACAGATTTACTTAATGTGTAGTGGATTATAATTATTACAATACTAAATTTGCTAAGCCAAAGTCTGGCTAGTGTATTTGTATAATATTAATTTTGCTAAGCCAAGTCTGGCAAGGATAGGCCAAGTCTGGCTAATTTTTATATTAATGAGTATTTAAAATTTATATTATAATTTCCTTACATGAGTAATTGCTAAGCTCAAGTGTAGCTAAGATTATTAATATATATTTAAAGTTTACATTATAATTTTCTTACATGTAATTGCTAAGCTCAAGTGTAGCTAAGATTATTAATGTATATTTAAAGTTTATATTATAATTTAATTACATGTAATTGCTAAGCTCAAGTAGCTAGGATTTATTCAAGGTAAGTTGTAAAATTTACCTTCATAAAGTGCATAATTAAGTACATAATCAGTGTTATTAATCAAGATGAATTTAATACATTGCATCATGGGTGAAAATGAGGAAATTAATGTAGAGGACAAACACATGGAATTTAGAGCATTATTATTATTATTATAATCAAGGGGGAAGCGCTAAACCCAGAGGATTATACAGTGCCTGGGGGGATGTGGAAGGCATTCAGGCTTAATTCGGGGAACTGGAGCACAGATCCAATTTCCTAAATCAAGAGCCCCTCACCAGGAAGGTGAGGGGCTCTTGATTTAGGTGAAGGGCTCCCCCTCAAGGAAGGTTCGTTGAGGGGGGAATTTAGAGCAAAAAAATCATCATTGCAGGCTAGAAAGGGTCATGTAACAAAGGCACACAATAAATGTTTGGAATTAATAAATCAAGAAACTGTGAATACTGATGATTTAAAATTGTATTTAGATGCTTTAGAGAATAGATATGATTCATACAAATTATATTATAAAAAATATGAAGGCAATTTGTTAGTAAATTGTGGAGATGAGACAGAAATAAATCTTATGATTATTAACCAGTATTATGAATTAGAAAAGATTCTTTCTTGTAAAAGTCAGGCTTTGAATAAATTAAAAGGTGTAAACCAGGCAGTTAATCAATCTATTCCAACAAAAAAGATGTCTTTGCCAAAACTCCCAGAATTATGTTTACCTGTATTTAATCCTGGGGAAAATTGGGAGAAATTTTGGTCTATTTTTAAAGCATCTGTGCATGATAGGAGTGACCTAGCATGTGTAACTAAATTATTTTACCTCAAAGGACAGATAAGAGGAGATGCTCACATACTCATACAAGGAAGCAGTTGACTTGTTGAAGGTCACTTATGGTAATATAGAACAAAGTAGGTTGGATCTAGTGAATATCATTGTTATTTTAAAAACTCCAGATCATACTTACAAAGATTTACAGCAGTTTAGAGTTAAACTGGAGAACACTCCCAAAACTTTAAGTAACAAATATAATCTGAAGGAATCAGACTGGTTATTGAGTGCTATTGTACAGAATAAATTAAGCTGTAAAACACTTGAATGAGTGTCTAACAAGTATCACAAAGGTTATTTTGGTCTGGAGGAAATATGACTTGGTCTATAAGAATTAATTGTTCAGTTGCAGACCAGCCAACCAATTATTTATATTTATTATCACACTGGCCGATTCCCACCGAGGCAGGGTGGCCCGAAAAAGAAAAACTTTCACCATCATTCACTCCATCACTGTCTTGCCAGAAGGGTGCTTTACACTACAGTTTTTAAACTGCAACATTAACACCCCTCCTTCAGAGTGCAGGCACTGTACTTCCCATCTCCAGGACTCAAGTCCGGCCTGCCGGTTTCCCTGAACCCCTTCATAAATGTTACTTTGCTCACACTCCAACAGCACGTCAAGTATTAAAAACCATTTGTCTCCATTCACTCCTATCAAACATGCTCATGCATACCTGCTGGAAGTCCAAGCCCCTCGCACACAAAACCTCCTTTACCCCCTCTCTCCAACCTTTCCTAGGCCGACCCCTACCCCGCCTTCCTTCCACTACAGACTGATACACTCTTGAAGTCATTCTGTTTCGCTCCATTCTCTCTACATGTCCGAACCACCTCAACAACCCTTCCTCAGCCCTCTGGACAACAGTTTTGGTAATCCCGCACCTCCTCCTAACTTCCAAACTACGAATTCTCTGCATTATATTCACACCACACATTGCCCTCAGACATGACATCTCCACTGCCTCCAGCCTTCTCCTCGCTGCAACATTCATTACCCATGCTTCACACCCATATAAGAGCGTTGGTAAAACTATACTCTCATACATTCCCCTCTTTGCCTCCAAGGACAAAGTTCTTTGTCTCCACAGACTCCTAAGTGCACCACTCACTCTTTTCCCCTCATCAATTCTATGATTCACCTCATCTTTCATAGACCCATCCGCTGACACGTCCACTCCCAAATATCTGAATACATTCACCTCCTCCATACTCTCTCCCTCCAATCTGATATTCAATCTTTCATCACCCAATCTTTTTGTTATCCTCATAACCTTACTCTTTACTGTATTCACCTTTAATTTTCTTCTTTTGCACACCCTACCAAATTCATCCACCAATCTCTGCAACTTCTCTTCAGAATCTCCCAAGAGCACAGTGTCATCAGCAAAGAGCAGCTGTGACAACTCCCACTTTGTGTGTGATTCTTTATCTTTTAACTCCACGCCTCTTGCCAAGACCCTCGCATTTACTTCTCTTACAACCCCATCTATAAATATATTAAACAACCACGGTGACATCACACATCCCTGTCTAAGGCCTACTTTTACTGGGAAATAATTTCCCTCTTTCCTACATACTCTAACTTGAGCCTCACTATCCTCGTAAAAACTCTTCACTGCTTTCAGTAACCTACCTCCTACACCATACACTTGCAACATCTGCCACATTGCCCCCCTATCCACCCTGTCATATGCCTTTTCCGAATCCATAAATGCCACAAAGACCTCTTTAGCCTTATCTAAATACTGTTCACTTATATGTTTCACTGTAAACACCTGGTCCACACACCCCCTACCTTTCCTAAAGCCTCCTTGTTCATCTGCTATCCTATTCTCCGTCTTACTCTTAATTCTTTCAATAATAACTCTACCATACACTTTACCAGGTATACTCAGCAGACTTATCCCCCAATAATTTTTGCACTCTCTTTTATCCCCTTTGCCTTTATACAAAGGAACTATGCATGCTCTCTGCCAATTCCTAGGTACCTTACCCTCTTCCATACATTTATTAAATAATTACACCAACCACTCCAAAACTATATCCCCA